GCACATCCTTGCCATCAGCAAGGGCTAATCGCAGTAATAAGTACCGTAATAAGATGGGTGTATATCTCGGTTTGTGTGAGGAGCTACACTTGTCTGGGCCTGTGTTTTGCGACGGGTGGGCTGCCTTTCATGCCATACCAGTAGTCCAAATACCTTGGCTTTGCTGAATACATGTATTCTCGGGACGCTACATTGATGACAGCGGAAAGCAAACCCGATCCTTAAAAACACATGTCCTGTTTTTTACCTTTACATGATAAACCTTGGCGGAGAGGCAGAAGTGTATATACTACGGATGGGAGGATGGTGATGACCCGAATCAGAGGGTTCGAAAATGAGGTCTACCTTCTGCACCTATTCCAGTTGCGTGTTTTGCGGGAAAGCTATTAACAACTGAAGCGACACTAGCTGCAAACCATCTAGAAATTTTGTTACAGACTTCCCCTACCGTACCTGCGTAAAGCTGTTGATAAAGTGAATTCGCGATAGCTCCTTCATTTCTTTACTATCGGAGTAGAGTCTGGACAGCTCCAAAGTGGGAACGACGTGGCAAGGAAGGAGAGACACGAGACCCTTTTCCCACAGACCTGTGTTAAGACCCGTTCTTCCTTACACAAATCTGGTTTTTTGGCCAGTGTGTCGACATCCGTCTATGGACATGCATGATGGCCAGCACAATTCCCCGTTTTTTAATCAAGTTCCTAGACTGGTCGAAACCCCAGATCCAGTTAAATTGCCAATAGTGATCAGCGACGTTAAGGTCAGGTATCCCCTCAGTTGCGCGCTGATTTGATGACTGGCGCGTCCGGCTCGTTGGTGTTTAATTGGAGCACCGACTGTGTTGCAATGGCTGACGCGGGAGGTTGACCAGGGAGAGTGTAGGGGACGACGTTTAAAATAAAGAGGGGATATGTAATACGATGGTTATTTATCTCTCGGTATTGGCAAGGAGCCACTTTTGACTGGGCCTATGTACCACGCTGGGTGGGCTGGCCTTCGGATCATGCCACAAGAACAAATACCTTCTCCGTGCTAAATACATGGGTTGTGCCTGGGTATTATGCCTTATTTCATTTTCTCGAAGTCTTGGGAATGCTACAACTGTTGTATGTGCTGTTGAGCGAAATAAACAGAAAAGGAAAGCAACATGAATGTTTCCTTGATGCACAAAACCCTGATATATTTAGGGAGTGAATAAGGAAATTTCGCTGTGACTATTTTACTTCCTAATGCCACAAATGAGAGAGTATTTATGACTGGGTCAATCTCTTGGAATGTTATGCTTCTCATTGTTTTCCAGAATATTCTACACATAACACAGCATGTTCTGAAATCAACTCCCTTAGGATGCTGACATTTTTTAATCAATTGAATGATATTAACATTGGAGCCACAACTTTAAGTTCTGCACAAATTGTGTCACATTTTGCGCGGCTAATTTTGCAAATTTTTCCATTTTATAATGACCTAATTAAAGCGACGACCTTAGCAGTGCCTCTTTTTGAATCTTATTTGAACGAACTTAGCCTATCGAATTCTTGCCTACTTTGATGCACAGAATGTTTGGTTTCCTAACCTCCTTCAACCTTATTTGCATGACAAATGGGAGGCATAGTCTAGTTCATGTTCATACACTCTTCCGGCATGGTGACAGAGCGTCCATTAGACCGCATATTTTCGATGGATATGATCCCCACAAAGTGTGGCCTGACGGACTAGGTCAACTGACTCAAGAGGGCATCGAACAGCTCTTTCTACTAGGAAAGTGGCTGAGAAGCAAATATGGCCATTCTATTGGAGAAAACTACAATGCCTCTACTTTCCATATGCGCAGTACGAA